TGATACAGGCCATCTTGATGCTGTCCTTGATACAGGCCGTCTTGATGCTGACCTTGATACAGGCCGTCTTGATGCTGACCTTGATACAGGCCGTCTTGATGCTGACCTTGATACAGGCCATCTTGATGCTGACCTTGATACAGGCCGTCTTGATGCTGACCTTGATACAGGCCGTCTTGATGCTGACCTTGATACAGGCCATCTTGATGCTGACCTTGATACAGGCCGTCTTGATGCTGACCTTGATACAGGCCGTCTTGATGCTGACCTTGATACAGGCCGTCTTGATGCTGACCTTGATACAGGCCCTCTTGATGCTGACCTTGATACAGGCCGTCTTGATACAGGCCGTCTTGATGCTGACCTTGATACAGGCCGTCTTGATGCTGACCTTGATACAGGCCGTCTTGATGCTGACCTTGATGCAGGCCGTCTTGATGCTGACCTTGATACAGGCCATCTTGATGCTGACCTTGATACAGGCCGTCTTGATGCTGACCTTGATACAGGCCATCTTGATGCTGACCTTGATACAGGCCATCTTGATGCTGACCTTGATACAGGCCATCTTGATGCTGACCTTGATGCAGGCCGTCTTGATGCTGACCTTGATACAGGCCGTCTTGATGCTGACCTTGATACAGGCCGTCTTGATGCTGTCCTTGATACAGGCCGTCTTGATGCTGACCTTGATACAGGCCGTCTTGATGCTGACCTTGATACAGGCCATCTTGATGCTGACCTTGATACAGGCCATCTTGATGCTGTCCTTGATACTGTCCTTGATACAGGCCATCTTGATGCTGACCTTGATACAGGCCGTCTTGATGCTGACCTTGATACAGGCCGTCTTGATGCTGTCCTTGATACTGTCCTTGATACAGGCCATCTTGATGCTGAAATGCATCTGGAGAGATGCGAGGCCTGATGGCATTGCACAATTCCAGGAGGAAGGAGGATAGAATCGAAAGACAAACTTAGTGCGATATTTGGTGATGTACCGTATATTACCGTCTATAAGCCAAATTTTGAGGACCAAAAAAATGTCTGTAGAAGGGGATCGTCTTGTCTATGAAATATTTTTTAGCTAGCCAGTGCCCTGCCAGGACGATGTTACAGGTTACCGGTACATCTGCCAGGATGTTTGCCACGATTACAGCGTTTATGTTGTGAATGATGAATAAAATACATATTAACCTGTACCTTTTCATTATTTCAACATATCATTACATATTAGTTATTATGACATTTATCGTACAATCAGCTGTGCACACGTTTCCCCGCGATCAAGTTCAAACATGCACAATAATATAACGGGATGTATTCTGGCGCAGTCATCAGTAAAATATAATACAGAATACTATTATTTAACCCACAGAAATATATCCTTCCATTGTGTAATTTTAATTAGTTTTGCTCTATAAATTAAGAATAAGATTACCATGTGTATTTGAGCCGGAAATGGCAATAAGCTGTGCACACGTTTCCCAGTGAGCAAGTTCAAACATGCACAATAATATAACGGGATGAAATCTGACGCAGTCATCAGTAAAATATAATACAGAGTACTATTATTTAACCCAAAGAAATATATCCTAGCATTGTTATTTTAATTACAGGTTTTGCACTATAAATGTAAAATATATAATCAACACTAAGGTTATACGGACCCTCATGAACGTAAGTTGTACGCACATGGAATGGGTAAAATAAGCAAGCCATTTAAATTCACACATTTTTACCGATGTTACTGTAAACTAGCAGTCCATGGAAAACAAGGCGATAATAAGCAAGCCAGTTTGTTGACATGTTATCTTCTAGCTACAATATGTATGATATTTAGCGAAACTAAATATATTATGCATTTTCTGTCAACTACACTTCATTTCGAAGCGTGAGTAGACTCAATATGATTGTGAATTCTTTGAATAATGTGGACCAAAGTTATAATTATTGGTAACTGCCAGTTGCCTGTGGTCTGTTTGCCGCATTAGGACCTCATCGCTGGGGGTCGTCTTATGTACGAAACATACCATTTTGACACTGATTTTAAGGGTCAAGTTTGGGGGTCGGCTTATCTATGGGGTCGACTTATAGACGGTAATATACGGTAATAATGAATAGGTTCGATTTAACTATTTTGCACAATGTGCATCAGGTGAAGCCATGTGAACTGCTCAGGTTGCGCCATCATAATATTGGTTGAATCGTGTTATGACAGCAGACAATTCATTATCAGCAGAGTGAGGAGACTTGTTTACATTCTATACTTCTGGTAATTGATCACCTGATGCACATGATAGGAAAAAACATGTAATACAGGGAATATGATATATTAAAACTGCTGCCTTGCACTTTAATGACAAATTTTATAGACAAATTTTATAGACAACAATTTGTTTTACTTCATTGGTGCAATGTTATCTGTACAATATGTCATTGTACTGCCCAAGTTTTATAATGCCACTCAAAGAAGTTGACATGTATTTTGGAGGAATGTGTTACCTTCACTGGTGCAGCTTGGATATAGTGAAATCAATCCCTGTGGACGAAACCAAAAAATATGACAGCTTGATGATAATTGGAGTTGGCACTTTTTTTTTTTTTTTTTTTCAGATTTTGCAGTGTTGACAATTAAGAGGTTTGCTCTTTTAGTATTGGAATCTAGGAGCCCTGTATCTCTTACACAAGTCTTTGAAATTCCTAATGTTGCGAATTTAATGTCCTTATAAGTGCCAAAGGATGACCCTTCTTCGAAATCTGTCCATTTCCATTAACAGAGAATACATTGTCAGTTTGATGCCTGCATAAATGATTGCCTGACAAAAGCCCCGCTGGACCGAAACCCCACAGACAAAAGCCCCGCAGGACCGAAACCCCACAGACAAAAGCCCCGAAGGATATATATATATGAAAACAATTCAGATTTAACAAGATTTATTTACATTCTAATATAAAAAATCAACATAGCATTTGAACACATATTTTCTGAGCAGCACTACTTGTCACATTGTTCTCCATCTAAAAATTAATTACATATTACATGCATATTATAAATAAAAGACATAATTAAGGTAATTAATATGAATATTTTATGTGTTTATAATTATGTGAAAAAAGTATATAGATATGTTTAAGTTATTTAGATACAGAAACTTACCTCCAATGTGGTACTGAGCTTTCAATTACAGTCAAATGCTTTCTTACATGAACACTCGTGGACTCATGGACTTATTTACACTCTTCTTAGTCATTTATTTTGTTTAGCGTTGCATGCACAACTAAGGTATTTTGGCGACGGGGTAGTACACTTACTAAGAAATGAGGGGTAAGAAAGATAGAAATTTTTAAAGAGTGGTGTTATTACCCCCAAAACAACTGTGTATTAAGGGAATTTTAAATGGGAGGCCGAATTAGAAAGGTAAAAAATATGAAATAGGTAAAGAGTGATAGAGATTTGGAATTTAATATAGTATAATAGATCCCTACAATAATGTTTTCCTATTATTTATTTATTATTATATTGTTAACTTTATTTGTTAGGTCTCTTTTGGAGTAAGGTATTTTTATTTAGTTGTTTTGGTGGAGTCCAAGTTTGTACTTCTTAGTGTACATAAAGCCCTCAAAGCTAAGTTTGACACCACCTTTGTTATTTCTTAGATCTTCCATTTTCACTGGTGGTCAATTTCCAGCAAAGTGTCTTAATTTATCCTTTTCAACCCCAATTTCTTGATTACCCTTCTCAAGACCAACCGGGGCGGCGGGGTAGCCTAGTGGTTAAAGCGTTGGCTCGTCACGCCAAAGAGCCGGGTTCGAATCCCCACATGGGTACAATGTGTGAAGCCCATTTCTGGTGTCCCAGCCGTGACGTTGCTGGAATATTGCTAAAAGCGGCGTAAAACCAAACTCAGTCAGTCAGTCAGACCAACTTCCTACTCAGACCACCTTGAGAAAACATAATTTGTTTTTTTTGTCTCATTTGTTATTTTTGCCTTGGGGACTTTTGTCCGAGGGGCTTTTGTGTTGGCCAATTTTATACATTAAACATGTGATACAAATCAGGTGATATACTGAGCATTAGGAAAAAGATACTGAATATGTATTGTGGAAAGAATTAACTTCTATTTATCAGTAATGACATATACCTTTAGTATTCATCAAGTATTGCCAGTTGACACAAAACTCTGTTGTTCTGAAATGTAACCAGGGCCTCTTCCCACAGCTATGATTACAATTTACGAGTAAAGATATTTCTTGTCTGTTAACTTGATAAGAAATCGTAAGTAACTTTCTGAATTCTTTCTATCCAGGAATACATCTTCCATTTAGAGAACAGTGTTATGTGAAGGTGCCAGTTTTGTAAAGCCTCATCTTTCAGTAGAAAGAGTAACCAATGCTTAACATATACATACTGTGTGACGGAATCATCCAAAACTTACACAGTGAGTGAGTGAGTGAGTTTACTTTTACGCTGCACTACACAATATTCCAGCTTTATGGCGGCGGTCTGTAAATAATCGGATCTGGACCACTTACACAGTAACCACTTAAATTGTCAGTGGTATAAAAAACAACATAATCAGATATTGGTGGTTAATCTGTCTGGTACAAGTGTATATTCTAGCTTTAGACAAAGAAAACATTCAGCTTTCTGAAAATGATATAATAAAATCATTGTGAGATGTTTTTGTATCTATATTTTATTTTTAGAATTATTATGATAATTAGAGTTCATGTATTGGAAAGCATGTATGTTATTTCCCATATCTACAGATGTTGCCATGTTTAAGCATATTTTTAGGCCTACCAGGCTGCTAACATTAAGTATCTGCCATGTGTCCCTCCAATGACCCTGGCTGCAGAGAAATTGTCCACCTTCGTCTTCATACGTGTATTTGTCAGGTTGATTTCTATCTTCAGTGTGATTATAGTAAATTCTCCTTTACTGGCAATGAGGTTGTTGACATGTTTGTGTTTAACCCTTACTTCTTTTGTTACAGGTGGAAAATAAAGAAGTGTCCGTCGAAACCTCAGCTGCCCTCATGACGTCCGACCGGGGAAACAGCGGGGGAGCTGAGTTACCACAACTGAACACACCGGTCAGTGCCTCTTTTACATGACACTATTGCCTCTTTTACATGACACTATTGTCTCTTTTACATGACACCAGTGATTCTTTACTTGCCCAGCACTTAGTTTGCCTTTTAAATGATTCATCAGTTATCAAGTGGGTGGTCACCAGAGTGGTCTAGCCAGTGACATATTTGGCTGGTGCTGTAACAATGATGTTGATAGGTAACTGTTATATTGCTCATCTGTGCTCATGGAATTCACCAAAGTTGTCACTGTCTACAGTGTTTGTCACTTTAATCTGTCATGACATTGCTAACATTCTGTGCAGGGCAGCTTTAGCACTTTAATCACTCACGTAAGTATTGTATTAGCCTTGAAATAAACATGCTCTTTGGCCCTTAAACAGTTGTGATGAAAGTAGTCGCCAAGTTTAAACACATACAGCAATCCCTGTATTCAGGTGCAAATTGGGTACAAATATGTAGTGTTACAACACCACTTTCACATGTGAATGCATCAGTGGGACCGCCTGGGAAGACCAACTGTCAGCTGACATTAGTGTAGATTTATGCATACACCATGTATCACTTGGTCCTGGTCCTTGGACACTGCCCAAGCTGTGCCTGAGCAGCTGCTGTTCATCACACACTGCAGAGCAATACCCCATTTACTTCCACTAGTCTTTTTTGTTGAATTTGCTGTCACAGGATGAGTGTTGTCCATACTGTGAACCATGCTTTGCATGGCCTATTATTATGTTACTTAAGAGCTCATGGTCAGTCCGATATGTAAGCTAGTGCAGTTTACTATGCAGGGTTTTGTCCTTTTGGCGTGCCAGAAACCCTTTACATGGGGTTGAATCTCATGCATATTATGTTCATGATTCTTAGTTTGCCAGCATCAGATCTATTCTCCTGGTACGTGTCTGCCTCTGTCGGTCAGTCAGTGTGGTCTCCCTTCTTCATGCTGACATGCAGTGATGTAACTTAACCCATTCAACACCGTAGGCCGGAAATCCGGTCAAGATGTCACCAGTGCCCAGACACCGTAGGCCGGAAACTGGCCAGGCAGTAGTCGCATCAAAATGATATATAATTTTAGGAACCTAACTAACAGATGATTCATTTATCAAATCTATCACTTTTCATAATGCCTGAAAACACTTATGACCTTTCAAATGGCCATATATAATCGACAGAATTAGAATTATAAACTATTTTTCGCAATGTTATTGAAAAAAACGATTTTTGGACACATGCTTCGGTCACGGGTCCACATCAGAGTTGTCAAAGAGCAAAGTAATGATGTTTCGAGATAATAATTACACAAATTGATTAAATGGAAGAATAAAATCAACAACAGTACTCATACAAGTTGTCAAATGTACGTTACAACTTACTATTTCAATCTTTATTGTGCAATCGTGTAATGTGATTCAAGTGACATCTCGGCTTTCGTCGCTTCGAACTTTACACTCGGACATGATGTTTAGTGCTAAAATATATGCATTAAACTTTCTTGTCACAGGTCATAACCTAGCACGATATGTCCACTAAGTTCCATAATATACGCATAGGTGGTGTTTTTTGCGTAACACGTTCAAAATAGCATGATTTTACCCAAAACTTTCGTCTGAACCTGCAGGTTTTCGTTTCACGACGACAGTATCCATTGCTGTTATTTGATTGGCTGCCTTAGGTCACGTGTCTGATTTTGACCAATCACGATCCTTATAGCAGACGGAGGCAAATAAGCGTCATTAGAAACCAATCTTTATCCTATAAAATCGCTTCTTACAACTGTGAAAATACTCTTGGCAAGGGTACAGTGATATTGTTAATGTCCAGAGCTTTCGAACGAATCGCCTAGCATGTTATTCAAACAAAGCTTCGAAAATGGAGGTATTTCACGCTGTTGTATCACGTTACTGAGCGGAAAGCCAAAGATATCGGGAAATAGACGACCATAAATATTAATTCAGAAATCTTTTTATAATAATTTTCTGATTACGTAAAAATGAAAATATAAAAGAAAAAAGTAAGGGCATATTATGACATGTTACAAATGGAAAAAAATCGCCTCATTTTTTGCTTCGTTCGTGGTTTATCTGGACATATAAATGTGTAAGCGTGCATTTTCATTAAAAATTAACTTATTTAAGTTGTAGTCGTATTACTTGAATAATATGATAAAAAATAACTTTCATATTTATAAACAATAGGATTAGACCTTTCAAATGGTGTATGATATGTAGTAGTAATAATGATTTACGAGCTGATATTTTCATCGATAAACATAAGCTTCATCTATGACCTCAGAGTCTCTGGGAACTCGGTGTCATGGCAGTAAATGCCTCTGGTTGACTGGTGTTGAAAGAGTTAAAAAGGGTGCATAATTGTGTCGCAGATTGATGAAGGGTCGTTGTGATGTAGTACGAGAGGCTTTTACTAATCATCACTCGCCCATCCATCTTTATGGTTCATGCCTTCTATCGTCACTATATGGCTGATATAATGCCGATGCGACGGAAAACTCAACTCATATGCCTATTGAGTGTTTTGGGAAGATATGCAATGGCCAAATACAGTTTATGCTGAGAACAAATAGGTCTTCAAACAGGGATATCAACAAGATTTTTGTATATCATAATTGTTTCATTATCAGCTGAGGGAAGAAAATCAATTTGTATAAAGTGTCATCGGACACTTGAAAGAGGTTCATGTGCTATGTTTGTCAAGTGTACTGGGTGATGAATCCTGAATCCTGAATCCTAAACTATTTCGGATAGTGCTGGAGCGAGTAATCGTAGGATCGGTTAATCGTTCAATCTAAGTCAAAATAAACGATTGTCGATTACAAATAAACTGCAGATCGATAATCGAAAATAATCATTATTTAGATGCACATATATTAAAACGTTTTATTCTACCTTGTCATGTTTTCTTATACTGAATAGTCTGGTCGTCATTGCTTGTTTACCTCTTAAACGGAAGCTGTGTACTACACAAGTGCGCATGCCTCCCGTCAGCCAATGGCAATGCTAGATATGTTTAGATTGGGCTGTCCTATTTCGTTATTAATATACTACGAGTTGTATCGTGGTTTATAGAAATTAATTAATATTCATGAGCAAACTGTGCAAAACTCATTCGTCCAATCATGCAAAACGTCACAATACGACCCAGGTATTACAGGTTAGCTACTTTCAAATTGGCTGAAACAGGGAATTCCTTGAGTTGCATTTGCATACTAACACATGACTTACGCAAGGCGGGGTAAAATAGAGCTATTTTCAGTTTCATGAATTCTCTTGAACTTTTGATACAGTGCTTAATTAAAATACTTCACAGAATAAATTTTGTGTTTCAACCTTAAGGAAATGTCTTTGTTTACCCTTCAACATAAACAAAAAGTTATTTGAAAAATGTCATGCCATGAAAATAAATCTACAAAGTGAGGTCACACAACTAGTAGCGTGATCTTGTAAGGTGGGATGTCAACTAAGACGAAACATTAATGGCATCTTTGGAGTAAAGATTTAGGATTTTTGTGCATTTGATTATGAGGTAGATATTGCATTAAGGATCCCTGAATTAAAATTATTCTTTTGACGTTTTTTTATACTGTTGCCTGCGCATGGAAACTTGATTCATAGCATATCGATGTCAGAACGATAGCGGGGATCGCCTTGTCGTCATTCGGGACGCTTCTCATGGATTTTCTCGCATTTTCGCGCTATAAACGGGAATTGTAATGGCAGATAGAAAACATATAACGATTGGAAATGTAAGACGATAGGATACTTGATCCAAAGACGCTGCAAATGTACGTAACTTCCTAGTGTTAACAATTGACACATGCTGACAACATCCCGGGAAGTTAGTTTGCTAATGTAGGCATTTGACTATGAAATGACTGTCCAAACGATTATAATCGATCGATTATTGATCTGACAAAATGTAACGATAAACAGCTCTAATTTCGGATAGTGCTGAATCTGGCACCATGAACTGTCTTCCCTATCCCAAAATTTATCGAAGACATTGATTTTGAATCCTACATAAGAAAGGTGTTTTAAAAAAATGTTGTTTCAAAGATGTTGATTCTTGTGTAACCAAAATTCTCAATTTGAAAACTTGTGTGTCTGTTGGCAATGGTTGGTGTAGTTGTGTAAATAGTAATCGTCATCTGTCAAATAAATGACAGTTGCCATGTCAGAACATGTGAACTAATAGTAGTAATGATTTCCAGTCAGATTTGAATACAATTTTGAGCTGACTTTTTAATTTTTAGGTATCAGCACTTATTAATTAAAAGTAAAATGTTATTAGAGAAACATACTTGTCATGCTTTGTCATCAGATCAGTTCTACTGTCACATGATAATAACTGGATAGGTCAAGGCCCAATACATTATGTATGTCATGATGGTACCTTGTGATAATTGTCAAGATACTGAAGTTGCACTTAATGTCGGCTTGCAAGAGGCTGTTCCTGCAAACCAGCAGTCTTTAAATTTCAAGACTACTACAATACATTTTGAGCATGTTGTATTTGGGATAACACTTTCTCAGTAAAGTACCCGTTCTAGTACTTTTACAATTGATGTCTTCCATTAAACATGTTTTCTCAAAGGGAGCGAACTTATTACTAATTCAGACTTGCACAGCTGCAAGGAAAAACATCTTGACTGTTCAAGCTTGGCTAATTAATTAGCAAGTAACAATGCTATGTGATTATCTCTGGTTTGGTTCATTTTAAAGGTTTATTAACATTTTTGTCTTCCTGCTGGTTCCTGTTGCATACTGATAAAAATGCTTTTGCTTGCTGATGGAAATGTACAATTGAACTTGATTAGATGAAATCTGGACAGTCAAATTTTCTTGGATTCAGTTCAAGACCATTTTCTGCTCCATGGATAGTGCATGGGTATGTCTTGGGGTTGTATGGAGCTACTGTATGGAAATGTATTTTGTGCTTTTTGACTGGAGAGCATTTTTTACTTATGCATTGATGTGTACTTAGAT